ATAAATAAAGAGGTCTAGTGTTTTTGCGAGGTGATGTAGTTTTCAGAGGTCCAACGGTACCCCCACCCCCCTTCCACGTACAGAGCCCCATATTTCGACGATAGTGGCATTTCATGGTTTGATTTTTTGCATCTTATACAGAAGGGTTTCTTATGGTAAGTATTACCTATATCCTCGCAAAGAGATTCCACGCAGCCGACTAACTTAAATTCAAAATTTGCATAAATTTTCAAGCGTCTCTTGTTCCTTCCTTTAGGTCTCCTTCACTACATCCGATCTTTCTGCGAGGGTATAGGTAGTACTCGTTGAAACTTTCCCTACAAGATGCAAGAAAAAGTAATTTGTAAAATGTCCTCATCACCGAGATATGGGGGTACAAATAAACCCATCTAAAATCGGTTTTTTCAACATAACTTTTGGATGTAAATTAAATTTGAAGGGAAGGGTATAGGAAAATTCCTCACATCAACAGCTTCCGATTGATATATAATATGTAGGGGTTTGATGCCCGCGGGCTGCTGGAAGAAGTTGTGAGCAGCTTCAGTTCAGCGTTCTCACTCCCCGCCACCTTAAAGGCAGCGGCTCGGCAGATTGACCTACCTCAGATTTTGACACAGATGGATAGGAGGCCCTCCAAGTGAACCAAAACAGCAACTCCGCGCCGAAAATGTGAACTCTGCAAGCCAGGGGGACGGCCCAAGCGCCGCTCCCCTTCCTCCTTTCGCTCCCCTGACACCATGTTCGGACGAGTATGTTCTCTGCTAAATAACGCGCCGTCACTCGTAGCTTCATAGGGCAAAATTGTCTAGCGTTCTCCACCTCCTTACTCTGCGTCTCTGACGGCAGAGAAAAACGGCTCACGTCTCAGGGTGGGTTTCAAAATGCGGGGTTTTTCCCCATTTTCCCGCTAAGGGGAGTTCATATCGCGATTCAGGGGGCCGGAATGCCCCAAACCTGCCAAAACCCGAATTTGAAAGTCTGCCGAGCTGCCTTTAACGCATTGAAAAGGCGCCGGGGGGTGAGCACGCTGAACTTAGCAGGCTCACCCAGTCTTGCAGGGGGTGAAAAACATAGGACCCCCCCCCATACTATATATCAATCAGCTCTTGAGTAGAGTCTACCTATACCCTTCCCTCTCAATCTTATTCACCTATGCAAAAGTTATCTGCAAAAAATCGATTTTTAGCGTCGTGATTTCTGGTCTATTTGCAATCATGACTCGACGATAAATTCTTTTCAGGTTCTAGTTTTTTGCATATCAAGAGAAAAGATTTTTTATTAACGCTTATACTCTCGCGGAATGATCTGCTGCAAGTTACTCATATTTAGTATATAAAGAATCATAAGCGCAATTTAAAAATGTACAAATAGCGGGAAACCGCGTGGCGGTCCCAGCGCGCGGATGCAATCTAGCGCCTTTGATTATTGGTTCACTGGTACTAATTGGAAAAATAACCTTGGTTAAATATGATCAACAACGTAAATTCAACTTTACTATCCTAGGAATTTCTTCTAACATCAATTATACTTTTATTCTGCTTCATTAATTAAGCAACAAATTTTTTTTATTGTATTCCATCGACACCGACTAACGAATTTATTTGCAACAGTAATTCCATAATCATCGCAAAGTGTCTCACTAACATCATCCACATTTGTAAGTTCCAGGTTAGAACTGTCCATCGGCGCCCTTAAAGCCCTTGAGTATCCGCCAGTGTCCATTGCCCATGATCGAAATCATATTTACAACATTTACGAGTTCGTACCTTGAAAAATGTATTTTTAACTTTATATTTTTAATTTCGTGTGCACTACTTCCTCGTCTCAATTTCTTCCGTTGGAGGTGAGGGGGGAGGGTAGTCCAAGCTCCAAAGTGAAAGGGGGGGGAGCGAGCTTTCGCTCACCCTATCGCACCTATGCTCCAGAATACGTTCTCCTTCGCTGTTACGTGTTCCGCATCGTGATTACCATGACATTTGCTTGTACAATTTCGTTGCTTCTTATCTTCATTAACCGTCCTCGCTCACCCTACTGAAATGGTAACCCTAACATACTGTTCGCATCCATCGGGCTGAACCAAACCTGTAACCTTCCTCGCTGTTAATCAAAAGCACTAACCTCTCGGCCAACTCTGCCCCATAATGTAAAAATAATGTAAAAATATGAAAGCGCTATATTTCGAAATGAGAAAGTTATGAGAGAAGTTGCAAAACTTACATGCTAATCCAATACTTAGAGTTGCAAAACATATGTTATAAACGAATGTTATACGATGAGTAAAGTCGTTCGGGAGACACTAGGGCCCGTATTGATTCACCCTACCTGCCGGCATCTCATGCCTCGCCCTGATGTCGACTTGAGGTCCCTGAAATCTCAAACTGCCTCCGGGGACCCCCAAGCAGGGCTAATCATCTATTTTTTCTGTTACAGTCTAGTTTTGCTGTCGAAATAGTACGGGAATTAAAAGAGGTTTGCCATTTATTTGGCCCGAAGTGTGAAGTGTCTCTTATCAATCAGCTGTTTTCTTCAGGTCAGCGTCTATCGCGCATTGTATTGATCATGCTGTCATACAGGCGCCACTTAGCCAGCGTTTATATCATTGGTGCCACATACAAACGATTGAACGAATGGTCGAATGGTTAATGCGGTGGCGCTTGAGGTTGACGCATGCAGGTTCGAACGCGCGCAATGCACCTGTTTTGCGGCTATCAGCGTCATCAAAATTTCATGTGCATATGACTGCGGAGTAAGGCTATTTGAAATTATCAGAACCTACGAACGATCAAGGCGAATAACACGTCGAGCTCGAGAAGTACAAAAAAAAGAGAAAAACTAATCAAAAAACGAGAATCTAAGGCAACATTTAGCTTGCGCCCGAAACATGAACATGCCGCAGGTTCGCGAACTTGCCGGCATCTTTGATGCCACCTGGTAGGGTAGATTACTACGGTCTTAGATGTCAGTGGTTTACTGAGCAAGTCTAAGCCCGAATCACAACGACTAGTCTTTTTGGAACCCAAATTTGAGTGGAAGCCAGATTTTAGCAAACAGCGCCGCTAGAAGATCCGAAACTCATTCAGTCACCTATCCCGTTGTACGTTACTATATGTTATGGCTATAAGTTAAAGTCAATGCTGCAAGCAACCCCTAATGATTGCTATAAATCAAGATCAGACACAATAGCAACCTTCCAAAGTTTTCGTGAATCATAATCACTACTGCGTGACCAGCAAACGACGCAACTCCGAGTTTTTTATTCTGGGAAAGTCGTAAACGGGGCAACAAAAAACGCAAAGCTTTCAAAGTGATCTAATATTACGGCGATCCAAGAGTGTTGGGTCACATTATTTTTTTTACAGTCTTTGAAGTTTTCTTTCTCAGTAAACCTGCAATTCAATTTCGCATAAAGGGACTTTTGGTGTTATTCAGACTGCACTTTGGAGCTCCTTTCCAATAATGTTTAAAGCGGCGCTCTGAAGAATTCAGACTTTTTGAACATCATCCGAATTTGTGCTGCTGTATCCCAAATACAAAAGAACTTCCTAAGCTTTGATGGTACTTGAAAGTACAAAAATTCTTCATTATTTCTAAGAAAAGCAGTCTATCTGAAAACGTGCGGAAGAAAAGCAGGCTTTTTGCAAAAGGGCGATGTTTGGCGAAGAATAGCTATATCATCTTTTGAATGGTCAATTTGGGCATTCAAGTTTTTGACTTGAGAGGTTCATTATGAAAACGGTCGCAGAACGCATAAAGTCACGCCCTTACATAAGTCAGTCGACGATTTATTTAGCAGGATGAAATCGTTTCCTCGCAATATTTGAACATATTATCGAAATGAGTTTAGATGGTGCCATGATTCAAAATAAGTGTGTTGAGGGGTTCACCCATCTAATTCATTATTTACAGATATTACGACATCATCAGAATTTAGAGTCAACTTAGAGGTGCGAAATCGAAAGCTGATGGTATGTATATCAATGCATTTGCACTGCACTAAAAGTGCTCTCGATTTGCAAAAAAAATTCGATGTTTGTGGTAGATTCAAAGAATTTCCTACTATCAAAAAAATTATGTTTGAAGGGTCCGTCTTGAAAATATTTTCACAACGTATGATTAGAAGTAGGCGCGAGAGAATAATGTATTTTGGCCCGATATCCCACAACCTTTGCGCGTTTTCCGCTCATAGGCACCTTATCTGGGTTCAGTTTGCAATTGACTAGAAATTATAAGTGAGCTTGTAAGCTTGTAATGTGCACAGTTGATGATTTGTTATCAATGCTTTTATATTAGATAATTCATGCACACCTCTCCTTTGCCGTATAATCTCGTGCACTCGTCCACTTTCTTTATTTTCCTTCATTTTTCATCCTGCTTCTCCTTCATGGGTAACGTAAGAGGAGACACATCTGGAATCCTGTGGAAGTACAGGTAGATTAAAGTGCTGTGAAACCGCTGGTAATTGTATATCCACAGCACTTTGTAAAAAGTGCTGCGGAAGTTCCTATTTCTAATCGCTGTGATGTCACTATCCTGCGGAAGTTCCCATTTGAACGCCTGCGCTTCCATAGTCAAAATTCTGCGAAGATACAGAAAACCTCTTTTGTCCTGCAGAAATTACCCTGGATTGTTGAGTTGCCAGCGGTCCATCACCGCTGTATCTATGTTTTATACCTATGTTTTCAAGCGAAAAGTTCAAGAAAGCAGACACAAGAAAAATTTAGCAACAAATTTTTTTTTCCCTGCCTCAGAGTCTGTCACTTTTGTGAGCCTCATACACACTTCGCAATCTTCTACAACTCGATCTAGTTGAGAGTACAGAGAAGAGCGTGGTTTGCCACTTTACAGGTAGCTGTCATTCACTTTATTGTCAGCATTTCAATTAAACCAACGAGTAGTACCCTGATTGCTCCTTGTCATGTTCGTACCCTCAAATTACATAAACACAAATGAAGTTTTAGCGCCAAGAATGGTAGAATTGCATATGATTTCATGAATTTTAGACAAAGAAGGAGACAAGCTTAGAGGAGAGAAACTGGAAGAAGAAAACAAGTTGAAAAAAGAGAAAATGCTCCTATGCAGTGCTGTGCAGATATCTCCAATGCATGTGTTGACAGCTGCACACTGTGTCCTGTCTTTCGATCCCAGCGAATTCAAGAACGCTTGTGAAAAGACGATGGAGTTTACGGGGTGAGTTAAGGACATTTTTAAGACTGACTTAAAGGCAATGTCCCGGCAGAATATGTCTTCCATTTCACCTTTTGCTCGCCATGAGGAAGCCGTATCTGGCTTTTGAACGCATGAAAAGGCGAAAATGAGCTTTTCCCGAAGCTTTTCAGGTCCGCATTCAGTGATGATATTTTCATAAAGAAGGAAAGTAGGAATACTTACGGATAGGTATACCCGGAACCCCCCACCTCCCTCGTTCCGGTCCCCGCACTTGCGCGTATTCTTCACTAAGGGCCGCATGCATCATCCCGCTGGGGAAGGGGCAGCTTGGAAAAAAAGCTCTAATCCTAAAGCTTCAGTTACCTGGATTTCACGCTGTATACCTATCCGTAAGTATTCTTACTTTCCTTCACTGTGAACATATTGAACAGGAGCGAGGTGTGCAAGCTGCATTTTCCAGCTTTCTGCATGATCCTCTGGGCCCGTAGTAATCCCCGTCGTGATGGTCGCGACTTCAAAACATCGCACGTACCCAGTACGTGTCGTTTCGGCCGCGATTCGTCGCGCGCCTATCTCTTGTCATGTGGCGCAGCGAAGGACAGCGTAACTGCAGGACGTGCTCGTCTTTGTTCGCAGAGGACAAGCACGTCGTGAAAGTCGTCGCTTAAAGGGCCGGGCATACCGGTCAGCCATCCATCGCGTCGCTGACTCTGCCTGAGGACAACTGTTACATGTGCATAGCATGCACGCTCAAATGTGCTAGCTGTCCGGCGCGACGCATCGCTGACCGTTTCTTGCTAGGCCATACCCATTCGAGCGAAATCGTCGCGACGTGGCTCATCTCAGCGAATGAGATTTCAAATGAGCGACGAGACGCATCGCGTGGATTTGGATTCCTTTCCGAAAGATTTTATGACGAACTTTTACTTTTTAAATCTAGTTTTTGGCCTAGGAAGAGGAAATAAGTCCTGTTCACAATGAATTGGTTTTCTCTAGGCATTTCTCTGTTATTGTTAACGATACCACAAAATGGAAACAGAATTTCAGGTTCATAAAAATTGTTGAGTCCCTCATCTATAATAATCATCATTGCTCCTCCAGACTCGCTTGCATTTTGTTCATTCTCGTTATCCTTTTATATCTTTTTGTGGCTGTCGTAGTTATGGATTCCAAGTGATTACATTACTGGTGGGATCGTTTCGCAAAGTATATCAAGCACGACACTAAAAAGTGGTGAAACGTGAAGGAGCTTTCGATGTTGTAAAGAGGAAGTGATGTAGTGTGAGAATGCACAAATCGCTTCGGAGGTATGCCCCGTTGACGAGCGATTACCGATCCGTCGCGCGTTCTCGTCGCTAGTTTCTAGCCCATTACGACGATTAATCGCGAGGAATATGCTCGGCCCTTAAGGTGCAGGGAAAAAGTAGTGGGTCCAGCGTGGAAACGCTCGCAGGAAGGCGCGACCGACTAGGGGTCGAGTACGCCGTGTTCGTCCTGTGCGCAAGGGCCGTAGGCACACAGCACTAGGTTCAATGCACGTCAAGAGCAATTGATATCAACAGCAGACTGCGTCCGAATGTCAACGCGCTGAGCGTTTTCTGTGCATTACTGCTATAGTATCCCCTATGATTCAAAAAAGGTGTTTATTTTTTATAGAATATGTTTGAAATTTACCTAATCATATTTCTAATGCTTGGGGGTTTTTTTCCACATATTCTCGCAGTGCAGTTCATTTGCCCACCAAATTTGTTCTGCATATCATAATTCTTATTTCTTCTATCTTATTCATTTTTATCGTGTATGCATGCTGATTTGCTCTTCATCGGCTGTGTACATAGCGTTTCTCTTCAATCTGAGCAGGGAAACCGCCTGACGTCATGGCTATGGAATAGCACATATTTGCTTCATGTGGAAAAATGAATATTTTACTTTTTTTCACTTTTTTTGTGAATTTGATGGTTCAAGTCAAACAAAGTCATTTCTCCTTTACTGGCGAAAATAATTCACGTTTATTTGTGCAAAAATCCATAGTGAGCGGTTTGCAAAAAGTTTGGCTCCCATGGGAAGCGCACCCCTCTCTTCAAACACAGCAACACCCGATACTGGCGCAGCGCTATCAGCACCGCTACTGCATCGTCATCAGTACTCGTCTTCAACGCGGATGACGCCAGGGCACACCTATGCAACGTACAAATAAAGTATACAAATACATACTGATACAAATCGAAGCTTTTTCTTTGGTAATTGTCGCCGACTGTTCTGTCTGCCGGATCTTGTTCATTTAATTCAACCTTGTTCATTGGGAAAGGAAGAGGTTCTGTAGTGCAGTGGCAGTGCGCGCCGTAAACGGTCATCGAAAGATTCGCTCGGGCGTGCGCGCCTAAGTTTTGCGGCGACCAAAACGTGATCGTGAGCAGCACGTCCTTCAGTCGGACACGTCGTGCCCTCGGTTTCTTTACATTACGGCATATTTCGGGGATTTACTACGGGATCTGATAATCCCTGGCGGCCAACCGTCTTTGCGTCAAAATCATCTTTCTCTCTTCGAGGTAGAGAGCGTGAAATCCAGATATCTGGAGTTTCAGGATATGAAGTTTTCTTTGTAAGCTGCGATCCCCTCCCCGACGGGGATGTTAATGCGCGGCCCTAAATATGAACCTGGAAAGCTTCGGAAAAAACTCGTTTTCGCCATTTTCATGCGCTAAAATATGGGTTATATGTTAATATGGGTTCCTCATGGCGAGGAGGCTCCGAAAAGGTGGAATCTGGAAAACGAAACTTTGCTGACGCACTGCTTTCAAAAATGAATCTTCCGCATATATTGTAACGGGCTAACTCTTCGCGATGCTTTATTTGTTAGACCTGATAAGTGCGTGCTTTATCATGCAGTCACTCGGATAATCGTCGGGGCAGGCGGTTCGCAACCCGCGCTTTTCCGCAAGCGCCCAGCAGAATTTTGGGGCGTGGCCAAACCTTCAGCGAGCGGTATTTCCTTTAGTCTGATGTTCTGCCAGCGGGCAGCAATACAGAATTTTCTGCAGACGCTCGTCAAATGATCTTTCAGCAAGCGCTCGGACTTTTTTTACGCAGTTTCGGGCTTCCCCCGAGCAGAGGTGAGACTATGTGGCAGAGGGGTCATCGGTGGTTTAATTACCCGAGTTTGTGGTACCTTCTTTCAGCGGAAGATACCACCTACGGGCTGTGCGGCCCTTCACAAAGAACCGTGCGGCCGGAACAATTTTGCGTATTCTTGTGGAAAGTCCGAGAGAATGCGGCCCTGCGCCGCAACTTATCCATAGAAAAACCGCGATAGTTCTCCGAGCATTCGTTTGAGAATTGGTCAACATTCTTCCACATTTCTGCAAGTTGGCCGCAAGAAATCAGCAAACTATTCCTCCGGTGCCCGCTTGCCCAAAAATCGCATGGCCGCCTGCCCCCGGCGATTACTGAACAGAGTGTGGATTCGCTAAAAATATGTTCCTGCAGTTCTGAGCGCGTAATTCTATACGACATATGAGAAAATGTTGTCGACATGAGCATAGAATTTTGCTTCAAAGAATGCGCCGTCGCAAAAGCATTAGTCCATCATCAAATACGTGAAACTATTCGCTTCATTCAAACCCCACAACCATAAATGCACTTCTCATCTCCTCAGTGTAGAAGTTGGATCGTTATGACAATCTCGCCGTTGAATTGCTCGCCGTTTCAACTCAGTTTAGGTGGAGATTGGACGCTTCGCAACGATTCGCGCCGCTTTGCAGTCTGCATCTCTTGATTCTGCTTTATCTCGCTGAGCCAGCGGCGGTGCGAACGCGCTGCTCCACTTGGAAAATGTTTCGCCTACCCCGGGTTGAAAAAGACTGTATAGTCGTCCTCACCCTACTAATCACCTGGTAGATAAATTTGAATTTGAACTGGGGAGTCCGGTTGCGCTGCGCAGCACCCTCAGCCCTCAATTCAATCTTACTCACGTTTTCTTTCTTATCCTGTGTTGACTGATGTTTCTTGTGTTTTAACACTGCTCGCGATTAGAGTTGACGCTTCGTTTTGTTTTAGCGATTTTCAAACTGCCATGCTCCTTTTTCAACTCTAGTTCAATTAAACTTGCAGAAACGATGGAGATTAGGAATTTTTGCAAGGAACATTCTTTTTCGATAAGATGTGCATCAATGCTGCTTCAGTAAATTTCACGCTACATATAACCCATTTGCATTGTCTTTCAAAGTTTGCTTGGAATCACAGTTGAAAAGACGAGCATAGCAGTTTGAGAAATCACTGAACCACAGCAAAAAAGGTAAACCCAAGGTCAAAAAATTGTTAAAACATAGAAGAACTCCAGCCAACAGGAAGAAAAACAAAAAGAAAACATGTGTAAGGCTCCCCCCAGAGTGCCGAAGCCATGCCAGCGCTACGCCAGCGCCGAGCCAGCGTTTCGATCGATGCACGTGCATTTCGTTGGGGCGGGGCCCTGGCTGAAAACTAGGTCAGTTAGCCCCGCCCCAACGAAATACAGTGTATCGATCGAAACGCTGACTCGGCGCTGGCGTAGCGCTGGCATGGCTTCGGCACTCTGGCGGGAGGCTAAGGTTGAACTGAGTGCTGAGTGTGCCGCGCTCCAGCGCAAACGGCTTGCCCCAGTTCTGGTTCGTGTACATTCACCAGGCGATTAGTGGGGTGAGGACGACTATACATCCCTGCGGGGAGGGGAGGGGGTCTGAGAGGGGACGCGTCATAGGGTTGAGCCAGACTTCGCAAAGTACGCAACGCCACATACGCCGCGCAGTTTGGCCCATCCCATTCCAGGCTACTCCAGATATCTTTCTTCTTCTTTCTGTATCTGAGTTGTGAAGGTTCATGCCTTGATACCTGCGCATAATGGATGCGGTTACTGCCATATGAGATTAAATTTTCACTATTTCGTGTGATCCCCAAGGGATCACCTCTCACTCTCAGAGTCATTTATCCTCTAAAATCTCTTTTCAACGAAAACGTTGTAAAGTTACGCTGAGGACATATGGCACTGCTGAAGTAGAAATGAGTGAAATTTCAGGATATCAACATCTTCGATGAATCACGGCTTGCGAGCTAGGGATTATCGAAAAAATTCACAGTCTTCTAATTCCATTCCTCCTATCGAAAACATGCTTAGCAGTGCCGTAGTATATCCTCAGTACACTTTTGCGACGCGACGTTTTCACTAAATTCTTAGGAAGATATATGACTTAGCAAATGAGATGATCCCGTGGGGGTTTTCAGGGGAACACAAAATAGTGAAAATCTAATTTTTGGATTTTGGGCGGCTATCCAAAACGCTTCGAGTGTCTTGCGCGCTAGGATTTCGGGTTCACGCGCCAGGATTCGAACCTGCACCGCCACCTCCGCGTCGTCATGGCTGAGCCTGCGATACACGCCTAACGGAGTAGCTACGTTGCCCTTGCTGAGACCATCTAAGTGTTCTTTGATGCGTGCATAGGGGGCGACCCGTCTCGCCAATATACGTGTCTCCACATGATGTACACGTGATAAGGTAGACAACACCTGATACCATACAGTCTCCTTCCTTTCCGTATGGACAAATCACACAATTAGGGGTTGTACAGAGACGATCATACTCCCGGTTTCGTACTAGCTGCTGTTTAAGGTTTGCGGGCGGAATGTCGACGATCCTTACCATATCGTTGAGGCCTGCTTGATGAAGTAATCTGCGAACAGCCCTACTAAACTCTTCTGAGATATATGGCAGACAGAATGGGATCTGATCATCGGCTCCCGATCTAGGCAGTGTACGATGGACTCGGTATCTGTAAGGGTGACGAGTTTTCGTGCTGTATCCATTAGATCTTGCTACTGATTCTGCGAGCTCCAGCGAACGCATCTTCTCGTCCTTATCAGAAGAGACCCCTGCAGCCGTTCTAAACATGTTCCCCACGATGGAGGCCTTTATTCGTGCGGGATGTGCTGAAGAATGGTGTACTAAGATGTTTTTGCTACTCGGCTTTCGGTACCATCTGGTCTTGAAACCTCTGTTTTTCTTAGAGGGTTGGGCTCCTTTCTGTAGTCGATGAGGTGTTAGATCGGATAGTTTACTTATGTGTCTTCGACTTTTTCAGACTCTGAAGAAGGCGAGTTCGCCGAAACGTTAGTCTGTTATTCTGTGCGATAAAGTTCTGTACCAATCTTGGATTACGCTCAAGCAATTAACGAGAAGATATCTAGAGTAACGAGATATGGTGCGCCCGTCTCAGATCCCCTCCTCTCTCCACGAGAATGTACGTGCATACCTGCTTGACTGTGAAAAGATAGAATTCCGTTACCTCAGGTTTACTGAAACAAAGCTGTTTTCTAGGGAGCCTAAACTGCAACTAGCTTACATGTTTGCTCTACTTTAAATTGCCTTGACCTTGTAGCAAATGCATTCCTTTCTAGCTATTAAGTTCATAAGATTACTGCGTCTGTTAAACCTCGGCAGCGTAAACGTAGGTTTTTTGCGAATAGTTTCTAGTAATTTTTGGCAGTTTAAACCTAGGTTTTTTTGCGGATAACTTCTAGTAACTTGTGTGCAAAACGTACCCTTATTTCACAAGTACAAGACTCACCTTTTTCATTTTTTCGAAGCAGCTCGGCCAAACCACTGTGCCTCGCGAATTGGTCGCTCTCCTACCCAATCGTTTTAGGTAGCGAGCAGCATGGTAGAGGATATTTGATCGCGAGCTTTTTTTGTGCTCAGGCTGTTCGAGTTTGGAAGAAATAGGTAAAACTGTACACATGAGAGCAGGGTAATAGTGACTCTTATAGTCCATAATACGGAAAATGCTTGAAAGTGGGCTTTTGCTAACATCGCTAGCGGCAAGCCATTTTTGAGAAATCAAGTAAGGATTGGGCAAATTTTCGGATCTTTTGTGCGCCATAAATTAATCACCATTCAAGCATCAATAAAGAATGTATATCTTTCCGGCACTTTACTCTCATGTTGAATATTCGAGAAGCTCATTGACATAATCCAGCGCAGTTTCCGGGCAGTCATTTCAAATTATCGCAAGAACGCATGCTTTCAGTTTACGCGATAATCTAGCAATACCTGGGTTGTAGGCTGAATTGTTTTACTGTTAGTGAGCCCGTCTCGAACGCAGTTTCAGCAGGAATACTATTCAATACCGCGCACCCAGCCCTCCAACAATTTTGAAAAGGCTTTTAAAAGAGAATGACCTCACAGAAAGCAAATTGCCTATAAAGCCTCAGCTGAATGCTACCGTGCGCAATAGTGAGTGAATCAGATTTCAGTGGAAAGATGCTGAACATAAGCAACTTCCACCTTTACATTGGCAGCAGTTGCGTACATCCCACACTATGCCACCAAGATGAAACTCCTGTCAAGGTACGCAATCATGACATTAAGGGCCGCATGCATTAACATCCCTGCTGGGGAGGGAAGAGGGGACTGTAGTTTAAAAGAAAGCTTCAAGTCCTGACATCTGGATTCCACGCTGTCTACCTACCCCAGCATACCTTCGATAGTCAAGAGACAAAGCCTAGAAAGTGATAGTTGTTTGAGTTCTTGCCCCCCCCCCCATAAAAAGTGAAGGTTGTTTTAGAAAAAATAGATGGAAATTTAGAGATCTGAATTGAACCAGGTAACTTGAAAAATTCATATAAAACAGAGGCTAACACATCACCAAATTTAAAACCTTATCTTGTGGTTTCCTACGCACATTTTTGTCTTCAGAATTGCCGGTTAAATTGGGTGGCAACAGGAACAAAGTTCTTTTCTAATTGAAAAAAAAAAGCTTTAGCTGTGCCGATAGTTGGGAGACCGAAAGAAGGCAAACTTGTTAACAACTGAGCTGAACATGTTAAACATGTCTGAAAAGTTATGCTGCACATCGACGCCAATCTGATTTTTGACGCGTCCTTTGATATTTCACCCCGCATGGTCGTTTCGTATTCTGCGACGTTGTTTGGATTCTTCCGCTCATCATTCTGAACAAGTAACGTCTAAGCTGGAGAAAATTCGTTGCAAAAACATTGAAAAAGAAGAAGGTGAAGAAAAACGCACTTGGTAATTTTCACAAAAAAATCAGCATAAGCAATGAAGTAAGCTCGGCGACGTTGTCTACGTTGTAGACAGAAACAAGACCTATCGAATACACAAAAAAAAAACGAGTGAAAAGAGTTGAACTGAAGAAAAAACAAGAGGTTTTCGAAAACTCCGTTTTTCCTATATTTCTCGTTTAAATCATAAAAAGGAGTCTTGCGACGTTGTCAGCGTGAAAATAGAGATCAAAAGCTTTTATATGATATATAGATTGTCGAAATTGGGCCCCCAACAACGAAGAAAAGGGTACAAGAGCCAAATGCCCCGCGCCCCGCATTTGAGGTAGCGAGGTAGCGCGCAACGCGCGGAGACGCAGACGAGCAGCGGAGAAGACCAGAGCCGACGGGGCATTTGGCTCTGGTCATTGATCTCCGCGGGATCATAACGAAACCCTGTAACATTATATATCGTTGTGATCCTCATGAGACGTCCAGGAGCACTGACAACGTCGCGGATTTTGAAAATCACTCCACAACGAGATAGACCAGCATTATGTAGCGACTCTCTGCGCAAGATTTGAGCGCAGTTTCTCGTTTCTGTTGAGCTCCAGCGGCTTTCATGAACTTCCAACGCTCAATCGAAGTCTAGAGAAAGTTTAATTGAGAAATTTTGCTCCAGTTCCTCATTGAATTTTTGAATAAAAGTCTTTTTGGCAAAAAAGGGCCATAAAAACGTAATCCTTCGGTTTTTTGAGCTTCTTTTGGATGTCACTACTATATTTACCTCATTCACATCTCTCCTATATGGATATGTTATCAGTTATGCAATGATATCCGGGGCTTCGCCCCGGATGACTTCCCTCTAGGTGAAGGTTGTGTTCTATCATGACGCTCAAAGTGAAGGTCACCAGAGTACGTGGCTCTATGTATCGAAGGTATGTACCCAAGTATTCCTACCATCCTTCACTGGGAACAATTTGATCGAAAGCGAGAGCTGTGAAAACCGCATTTTCCAGCTTTTGGTATGATCCCCTAATAATCTCCAGTTGCCGACCGTCTTTTCTTCAAAGTCATTTTTCTTTCTTCGATATTACTAAGGGCCGCATGCACTAACATGGCCGCGGGGAGGGGATCGCAGCTTAAAAGAAAGCTTCATATTTCGAAACTCCAGATACTTGGATTTCACGTTGTTTACCTGTCCTAAGTATTCCTACTACCCTTCACTATGAACATGTTGAACAGGAGCGAGAAGCTGTACGAACCGCATTTTCCAGCTTTTGTATGATCCCTGATGATCCCCGGCGCTTTTTTTTTCAAGTCTTCTTTCTCCGAAGTTAACGAAAATCTTCCAAAGTTGTACTGAACATCTAACACAACAGTGCTAAGCATGTTGCTGATGAGAACAAATGATGTTTTGAAGTCATGAAATTTTCGATGGTCCACAGGTCGAAATTTGGGGTATACCGAAAAATTCGATTTTTCAAAAATTCATTTGCTCTCATCAACAACATGCTTACCACTGTTGTGTTAGATGTTCAGTATAACTTTGGAAGGTTTTCGTTGATTTCGGAGAAAGAAAAATGACCTTGAAATATAGATATTCGTCCCCCAGGGACCATCAGGGGATCCTACAAAAAGCTGGGAAATGCGGCTTGTACAGCTTCTCGCTTCTGCTAAATATGTTCATAGTGAAGGATGGTGGGAGTACTTACGGACAGGTAGACAGCGTGAAATCCAGATATCCGGAGCTTCAGGATATGAAGCTTTCTTCTGAAGCTGCGATCCCCTCCCTAGCGGAAATGTTAGTGCATGCGGCCCTAAGTCAACAATGCTGAGCATGTTGCTAATAAGAACGGATGATGTATTGGAGAGTGAAATTTGCGATGAACCACAAGTTCAAAATTGGGGTTGTCAAAAAATTCGATATTCCAGAAACCCATTTGCTTTAATCAGCAAAACGGTCGTTTTGGTTAGATAATCAGTACAACTGCGAAAGATTTCTATTAACTCCAAATGAAGAAAAATGGCTGTGAAGAGGCAATCTGCCGGGGATCATCAGAGGATCGTACAAAGAATGAGAAAATACGGCTTTCACAGCTTCTCGCTACTGTTCAATATGTTCATAGTAAAGGATGGTAGGAATACTTACGGATAGAAAATACACAGCGTAATCCAGATATATCCAGAGCTTCAGTGTATGAAGCTTATTGTAAGCTACGTTCCCCTTCCCGGCGGGACGTTAATGCATGCGGCCCTAAGTAAAAGTATGTTAATTTTCTTTAGATCATCGTACGTGATCATTGGGGCAAATGTGATGGTTCGTCGGATTTGGCTATACTGGAGTTGCAAAAAAGCCCGTATAGACCGGACCCGATTTGCATGCCAGAACATGACACTAAATTGGATTGGCTTCTCAGGAGTGCCGGTATTGGAAGGGACCGTGGGTTGACGCTATAAAAAATTTTATCGGTTTGCCTCTACTTTTTTCATAAAAAGTGTCTTACAGCATCCCAGTAGTCATATGTAACCGGACTATTACACATTTTACAGCTACAAAACCTGCGAAGGAGTCTAACACGCTACAAACGATAACACTCACTGAAAATAAGACAAATACGAATCCTAACCTCATCAAGACGTTTAGTCCAACATCCTCACTATGTTACGTAAGTATGGAATATTCAGCTTTGACATGTAAACCGCAAACTCAATGAGCATGCACTTTTGCTTGATATTCAACAAAAGACCTTATTTCATGGAATGACCGCTATATCGGTGACCATGTCGAATAACTTCGATATACATCTCGAAAATAAACTTGAAATCCTTGAGTTGTTTTTTTTTTGAAAGAAAGAAACAACACCTCACTATCAAGTGATAACCAGGTAACATGCTAACCATGGGAACCAAATCCAGGTCACGGCACACATCGGTATCACAAACGCTTTCTTTCAAAAATCGAAGTAAATAAAGGTTGCGACTTCGCTTGCGTTGTTTGGATTGCCACACTATGTTGAAACTTTGTTCGATTTGTCATTGTATCTTCTAGACGAAACGGCGGCGCAGTTTCATAAAGCTTTCTCAAAAGTACATACCCAAGCCTCAAATTTGATTCACTATGAATCTCATCGCGTATGTCAAGAAGAGCATATAAGGCCGTACGTGGTGCAGCCGGTCCGAACGTTGAATTCTTTAGCAACTATTCAAATCACCGACTCACAAATTATGACTAATTTTAGGGCGACAGCGGAGGTCCCCTGTTCCAGTACAATGCTGCTAGGAAGTATATGCTTGTAGGAATAGCCTCGCTTTCTACTAGCTGCGAAAAGAAACTTGAACGTAAGCGTACATTCTTTAGCCAGAAAAAATGCAATCCTTTTATAAAGCTAAATATCTATAAGATATTCAGTTTTATATATCAGATTGCATTTTTGTATGTATTGTATTTGTGTGTATGTATGTTTGTCTATGTATATGTGTACGTTCTGAATAGAAAATTGTATTCTTGAACCGATCTGGAACAAACTTTGTGCATACATACACTTCAGGACGGGAAGGGTATCGTAGGCTACTTTAAATTATCGATCGATGTCGATTTTTTGATTTTTTTTGCAAACTTTGAGCTAAGGGCTCGGAGGTACAGGGCTTTACAACCTGAGTGTCCCACCCGCCCCGCTAGGACGCCACGCTTAGGTCCGCGCAGCGTTCGTGGCGCTGGCTGCGCGTCGACTGAAGCTTGGCGAAATCCGGGCGATACGCAGCAAACGCCGCGCGCGGCCTGAGCGAGGCGGCCGCTTGGAGGAGCCGCGCAAGCGAAACTTGCGACTCTCAGGTTGAAAAGCCCTGTAGCACAGAGGCTAATTGAGCATGATGGCAGCGAAAGTAATTTGGGAAAATATCCATTGCATTTTTATAATGTGAGTGATCTAATTCTTTGCCAGTTGCAAGTGCCAACCTTCTTCTGAAATTCGTCTCTCCATCTCGTTAAAGCCAGTATATCGAGTCGTGCTTTCTTCAGGGCTTCTTGCAGTTCTTGTCGGACTTCGTTTTGACAGGCGTCTCACGTTGAATGTTCCAATGTCTATACAGTCATTGTTGGGGTGCCGTTATCAGTTTGTTTGGGTGCCGCATATTGTAATAATATGAAAGGCAAATAAATCATCATAAATCATCATCCATTGCATTCATCAATTTTATGGATTTTTTGAATCGTACGGCCTGAAAGTGGGAGTTGAGACAGAGAGCGTGAGCAAGCTGATTGTAGAAACATAGTGGGAGCTCGGATGGCGTACAAAAGTGAGAGAGGGTAGTGTAATTTTCTACGAAATAGTATTACTGATGACCTTTATTCATAATTTTTGACAGAAATCAAGAAGTCGAAGTAGCCGATCACCGGTCCACAACATAGCTTGAGACACTGATTTCAAATCAGCTTTCCTTATCTACAGCGCGCTCCTGACAAAAAAGTTATGAGTTTTTCAGAGCGAAAAAATGAACTAAGGACTGACACGAAATGTAGCAGTGTCAGGGTACTTCTCAAGACGAATTCCTTTTTCTTGATACAACACATTTGCCAGTTCTCCATTTAGAGCTTAGAATGGCTGTAACCATCAATTTGTCCAGTTATCCGTTGATTTTTTAGCTTCAAGAAAAGCATATAAGTTCTTAGATGCGCTCTGCAGATAAGGGTAGAGTTTTGATCAGCGTTCCGTTTTCTCACTGAGGATTTACATTTTCTGATGATCGGCCACTTCGACTCGACTTTTCCTTATAAGGGCCGGGTGGAGCTGGGTATGTCATCTGATAATAAAGTGTTACCTTCAAAAATTCATTGGTTATTTTAGTCCGAAAGACCTACTTTGTGGATGTGCGCAAGCATCTCTCATGGGTTTGCGAAGTGACAGGTGTTTGTAGTTCGACATCGCTTGAGGTAAAAGCTGAGTGTTTTCTCTTTAGGAGTATGTCCGCTGTCAAAGCCTGCAACTGTTGCAAAATGAGAGAAGAGTCAACCAGTCAAGCGATATTCACTGTCAAAATCTACAACTACTGTTAGAAGAGTCATAGTATTGTCATCAACTCAGGCAAAACATCTGCTACTGTTCCGTTAAACCTGTGACAATAAAAATTACTCATTAGAAACTTCATAGCGGCTAAGGAATCCTTAAGCCTAAGGCATACCTCACGCGACTCCAGTCGCTGCGCGATTTGTCACCAGAACAACTGTTCATAATTGGTCGTCGGAGCGCTTTGTTAAGGTATGACTTGATCAGTTCGCAACAAATTACAAAAGCTACGCATCCATGTATTGGAGAACCGCGCACGACAAATCTGGAAACATCTGGCAAACTGCCAGGTCGCGTGAACGTCGCGATTTGGCCGAATCGCGCGAGGTATGCCTTAGGCCTTAGGCTCCCGCCAGAGTGCCGAAGTTATGCCAGCGCTACGCCAGCATTTCGATCGATACACGTGTATTTCGTTGGGGACATCTACCTGCTGAGCTAGCCCCGCCCCAACGAAATACACGTGTATCGATCGAAATGCTGGCGTAGCGCTGGCATAACTTCGGCTAGTGTTGAAGATAAGAACACTCGTAGAGGAAATAGCTTCACAAACGTCTGCCTCCTCTTATCAGCGCCAACATGTGAATTCAGCCAAATGGACGATGGAATATGGTTCCAGAGGAATAAAATTACCAGATTTTGATGCATAAATTTATGTTTCTTCGACTTTGTCGCTGCTTTTCATAATCGCTCAAGTGATTGCTAGCTCCCTTCAATCATAATGAACTTGAGTATGATGCGGGAGGAGTTTCACGTAAATGGCGGGTTTCCTTGGTAAGGCCTATAATTAAAAACATCATTGGCCAGCCTCTGGAACTTTCGCCCGGTTAGTATTATATCGGTCAAAAGAACATTGCTAATCATGGTCTTGAAGTCAATTATCTCTCTTCTTCAGAGTCAAAGAGACAAGATTATTGTCATAACTATGCTTCAATCTATGAATATTTAGACTATTTAATTAGAAGAGGTTAAAAGATAAAGATCTTCTTGAAAGAATCCTTCTGTAGTTCGCATGCCTCTTTTCGACTTTTAGAAAGATGGGCTCTTGCTCATCCTATTCGATTTTTACACTTATGAACTTATGAATGTATGTACCATTCTCAAAAGGCATCTCTTGTAGTGCCTTTGAAGATGATTTAATGTTGTATGGGATGGCTATGGATTTGTAGTTTTAGACGGATTCAGGATGCGTCGCATGATCTTTTCAGCTGATCGCAAGTATGGGGTCTTCCTATCTCGAGAAAACCAAGGTTTTCCAAACACGAATATCCGAAAATTTCAAAAAATATAATTAAATTTGTCTCAATGGCACGAAGCTCAGCTAAAAAGAGGAGCTCGTAAAACTCGTAGAGATTTCGCCTGGTTCCTAATTTCCGTACTTTGGAGATTTTTGAGCTAGTTTTTCATGTGGACGAAAAAGTAGTAGTGCCTTGCACTGAGTGCAAAAAGTGGAAGCTAATTCGCCTTCAAAACGAACTTAATCATGTTCGAAAATGAGCACTTCACATGAATGGCCCAATATTTGTAAACTTCAGAACTTCGTTAAAAATCGCTCCACGGGAGTCTTTGACCCAAAATAATGCTCACCATGTTCGGTAGGGCTCCCTTGCTTACTGTTTATATATGGCAGGCGCTATACTCCTCGAGGAGTATAGCGCCTGCCTAACAGATCAAATACCTCAGTGTGCTTCCTATTTTACAAAATGAGCTCTGACGTCGATGACGAAAATCATGTTATTGCTAATATCACTATCACCTCGATTACGTCCCACTTCTTCCTCTGAGCTCCCAATACGACTCCCCCCCCCCTCCGGCCTCCCCCCCCCCCCCCCGGGTGTGGCGTGCCACGCCTAACCCCGGTAGTATACGTATAGCGTGCTTTTAAATGAAGTTTTCACAAGCAACTTCCATACCCAGGACATACTTGTATAACAGGAACCGCGACCCACTGCTTTTATTTCATTGTGAAGAAAAACGAGGCTTGATAAGCATCAAAACCATGGACAACGCTAAAAGTAATGCAAAGAATCACTGCAAAAACACTAACAAGAGATATAGCCAAGCTAAACGACTAGCAGAATCAACGGATACAACCAAGATGAGGAGAACATTAGCGAATATCAAACCAATGTTTCAGCTATGGCACCAGACGAGTGCATGGAACCATAAAGTTGGCTCAAACTAAGGCAAACGAAATCCAACCATTACAAGCCATGTATGTCAAACATGCATTGGGAGATAGAGGCTAATACACAAAAAAATGCTCAGTCAGAGGCTAACACACAAAATGCGCAAGAATGCGGGACATCCAGAGCGTACTATGACCCGTACAGGTCGTCAACGCTCACTACTAATCCTAAACCTGTAAGACCGAATTGAAAAACGGGCGAAATGAACATGTTTTCAAATACAAATGAGGAGATGCAGCATACATAGCACCCGAGATCATTTCAAACACCTCATCGCTGTACAATATCAATTAATAGATGTTAAGGATTCAGCGGTATTGTAAAATCATAGCTAAAATTTCCCTATTAGCTACAGAAACAAGCATAGAATTCAAATCCATCACCTTAGCAGATATTTCTTCTACACTGGTTCGTTCCATTGATGGTCAACAAGAACACTACCACCAAATTTCAGGGAGCGCTAGGCCACGCCAATTCCAGTTTCGCTCCCATGTTTGCTCAAGGATTATAACGACAATTATATTCGAATGGCAAGTACTATCAAGGTTGAAAAAGTCTCGCAACACCCTTTTCTTTGAATCAGCGATCACAAGTCAGGGAATCTTGTTGGGTCTTCCCTGTACGAGGTAGGAATGAAAAATAGTTTGTCTGATAAATTTGACACAAACTGAAGTTTCTGGAACGTAACCTTCGCCGAGATTGTTGGCAAGAGCGGGATCTCTGAAACAGGCTATGAATTTCGAGGATATATGAAGTGTCACATAAGGATTAAGTGGAAGTGCTATGACTGACCGACACGAACAGGGAAGCCAGGTGGTAGCCTTGCTTCACAAAATCGGCGCAACTTCTCAAGATGTTTGAAGGGTGCGACAATTTCAAGGATGTCCAGCAACACATCAACATGCATTGGAAAATCTTCGCTCTGAAATGCACGAAGATGACTGTTGAAATCACTCCAAATAACTGCTATACCACCTCTGTATTACGGTAAACTAACCATGCCAATGATTGCAGTAAACTGTTTCTCGTTCTGCTTCAGAATTTGTGCTCTACCCAAAGGCGGTGCTGCGCCGGGAGCAGCACCAACATACTCTTCCCAAGTTGTGGGCATACGACCAGGAGGAGCCAGAGATTTACGGTGTTGAAGACTCTAGAGGATATCGCGCGATAAAAACTATAAAAACAAAAAAGCTCATACTGGAGGGTTCAAAAAAGAGTGACCCCGTGAACAGTAAAAAGAATTCTACCTTGAAGTCCTCATCACCCACGGCCGCTCCACTCGCCAAAGACTGCATAAAAGACTTGTTCTTCTTGATGTCATCGGCAGTAAGATGCTCCCGTCTTTTCCGCGAAACTAGTTTCATCCCGTCAACGAGGTAAAAGTTCACATCATAGTCACCGATTCGTTCCTAGAATATAGATGTCAGCGATAAGCGAATCCAAAAACCTCAATAACTAATCAAAAAATTCAATCAACTCCGAGTAAGTCGGTAAGAATACATAGTAAAAAATGGCTAAAAGCGGCGTAGCTTATAAGAAGGTGTTAATTCCCTTGAAATCTGTAAATCATGTGGTAACAAGCTTCACTGTACCTCTCTTGCGTGTTTGAATACCCATCCAGAAAACGCTTGTCGAAATGTTATCGTCTTCGTGGACATCTGAAACTTCACTCGAACTATACAAACCTTTAGTAAGATAGCACACATATAGCACACAGATTGTGACTTTCTTTTGCAGACTTTCTTTCTTGATAGAACTGCACCGAAATTAAACATATTCAGAAGCTCAAGTGTGAATGCATCTTCCCAAACGGTAACGTAAATTTATTACATGTTTGCACGGAGTAAAAACTCTTTATTATGCATTGCAGCGCGTCAGGTCAGTTGAATTGTAAATAACTAAATCAAACAAACCTGAGCAGATACAATGTCAGATGACATGAGAACATCAACTTCTTCGTCTACTTCGGCCTCAGATTCATCGTGCCGGACACGTTGGAAAACCTTCAAAAATCCTGTGGTGCACAAAACAAAGAGGAATGAAAGAGTGAAGAAGATGAAAAAAGAGCCACGTACTTTAGCATTGTTATCCATTATTATTAATTCATCGGATTCATGCTTGGCTTTAGCGTTGAAGACAAAGGAGATATCACCTCTTTCCCAACGTCGTTCGCTGCAAAAAAAAACTGCGTGGAAAAATACAAGAGTGAACTCATTTTTTTACATGATATGATCTGACGACCCTGTCAAAAACCTAAGATGATTGCGACAGAAAGTAGTGGAACGCTGTAGAAAGTTAGCATTTCCGATCGAGGTGGCAGTAGTATGGGTGGGATAGAAAGCCGCTATGTCTACAGTCTGCCCCAATCGGGATCAGACCGAACCGTCGGCGTGGATTTGCGCGCTCGCAGCGCTAGGCGTTTCCGCTGCATATGCGCGCTGGCGGAGAGAGCGAGGAGGTCGAAGAGGGAGCAGACAAGCAGGCCGTGGGCGTGACCGCGAAACCCTAACGACGCGGACTCCCGCCATGCCAATTTTGGCCTGTTTAGGATTGGGGCAGACTGTAGTCATGGAACAGAACGGTCTAGTCATGGAACAGAACGCTGACTGTTGTAAATACTATAGTTGTAACGAATGAAAAATTATCATCGAATGAACGATAATCGAATCATTGATTTTTGATAGACTTTCGAGCGAATGAAATTGAAGATTATCCGAAACGAATATTATTCGATTTTCCCTATATTATTCGGATTTGAATATTCGAATATGGGCACACTCCAAAATTCGAATTTTCGAATGTTCGAATATCGAACTCGATCGAATATTCGACTATTCGAACAAACGAATAAGCGGTTATCATCGAAATTCGCATACAATATTCGGATATTCATGCAACATTCGAATATTCAAACGCAATAGTCGAATACCCCCACAATGGTCGGTCGCCTCATCGTGGCGTGGGGGTGACACTGGGTGTCGAACTGCGATGCACAGCCGAGTGTATACTCTGGTAGGGCCTCCCAAGCTGTGAAGGAGTTCGACGTTTCCGGTTCGGCCGGATGCCTAGCTAAGAACTGGCCGCGCCAGATTCTCCGCCGTCTGGCTTCTTCTGGTCGCTAGGCGGTCCCTCCCCGCTCCAAGCCCGGGGTCAGCGATCACCCCGTGGAAATCAAGAGTAGGCCTAGTAAGCCACCTCTTGTAGGGGAACAAATTTTATTACTCAGACAGCAAGAAGATTTAGAAAAAACCCTGTACATCGGATCCCGCCTACGGCGCCGGGTGGTAGCAAGAACGATGTCAGGGTACTCAGGGCGCCTTTCGGATTGGACAAAAACGACACGTCTGCCCGGACGACACGCCATGGAGACTGCCTCATGCTCTGCACTTACAACGCCAGGACAGTCTCCACAAACGCCGACCTCCACGCTCTTCTCGACGCTGCAGAGCACATCAACTACCACATCATTGCTCTGCAGGAAACAAAGTCCAGGAAGAAGGACGTGCGACAGATGAGTGATGGGACCCTCATCATTCGTGGTGAAAAGGTTCCATCACGAAACGTGGGAGGCGTCGGCTTTGTCGTCCACCCATCTATCGTCCATCTTGTCGATTCGCACGAGATCCTATCACCTCGACTAGGCATCCTACGACTACGACCTCCACATCAGAAGACCATCAGCATCATCAACTGCTATTCTCCAACATCAGCAGCCGACGAATCAGAACTAGATGCTTTCTACGAAGATGTGGAGGAGGTCGTCCGCAACGAGAAGTCCTTTTACAAGTTTGTTGTGGGCGACTTCAACGCGAAAATCGGGATGCCACTGGAAAGGGAATATAGGATCGGGAAGTTTGGATATGGGCTCCGGAACGAAAACGGCAACCGTCTTGTTGGGCTTCTCTCCGCCGCACGACTTTTCCATGGAAATTCCATCTTTATGAAGAAGGAACATTGCCGGTGGACATGGGAATCGCCCAACGGAACGACCCACGCGGAGATCGACCACATTCTCACCAACCGAAGGTGGAGCTTACTCGATGTCTCTGTAGTTCCATCCTTCTGTAGTGGCTCCGATCACCGCCTCCTTCGAGCGAAGATACGACTCAGCCGAAGGCTGGAAAAGAAAGTCTGCCATAGTGCCGCGAGAAGGAAGGAAGTCGTTTATGACGGTAACAGGCTGGAAGAGCTCATATCAAGTTGTGACTGGCCCATCGAGGAGGACCCAACGTACGACTACGACCGGCTTCTGAAAGGATTGCGAGCCTGCGGAGAATGCGCCTCAGTGACTTCTGAGAAGAACTTGGACCGCATCTCGAAGACCACCAAGGAATTGCTCGAAAGAAGAAGATCATTGAGGCAGGATCCAAATGCAACTCATCTCGATCGACTGATTGCCAACACCAGTTGCAGAACAGCTTTGCAAGAGGATCTCAGGAAGTACAGGCAAGCCAAGATACTGGAAGCAGCAGAAAGAAGACGAAGTCTCAAGAAGTGCCGAAGGGACCTCTGCGAATATCACGTACCGCTGGCTGCACTACTGAACGAAGACGGGACTCCGACTTCTTCCCGATACAAGATGGAATCTATCGCGAAGAACTTCTACACCAACCTCTTCCGCTCATCAACACCTGTGCAGATGCCCGTTGTTCCCACTGGAGAAGTACCACCACGAATTCTACCTGCTGAAGTGCGTATCGCGATACAGACCATGAAGACGTCCACGGCTCCAGGACCAGATCATCTTTCCGTCGAACTTCTGCGAGCCGGAGGACACCGTCTACACGAGATTCTAGCGTCGCATTTGACATCTTACCTTCAGAAGGAGAAGATTCCCGACCAGTGGAGAACGTCAAGAACCGTCCTTCTCTTCAAGAAGGGTGAAGGGAGGATCTTCGGAACTATCGTCCAATATGCTTGCTGAGTGTGCTGTACAAGCTTTTCACGAAGATTATCCTCGCTCGCATATCAAGGACACTGGATGAAGCCCAACCCCAAGAACAAGCTGGATTTCGCAAAGGATTCAGCTGCATGGACCACATCCAGACCGTTTCGAGGGTCATAGAAGTCTGCCGGGAGTACCGACTGCCTCTCGTCCTAACCTTTGTCGACTACGAGAAAGCCTTCGACAGCGTCGAAACCAACGCCATCCTGTCTGCGCTAGTCGATCAAGGAGTGGACCCAGCTTACGTGAGGACGTTAGCCGACTGCTACAAGGACTGCACAACGACGATGCAGCTATTCCATCGCCCCCTGACCATACCAATCGGGAAGGGGGTCCGACAAGGCGACACAATCTCGCCGAAGCTGTTCACCGCGGCCTTGCAGTGGGTGATGAAGTCACTGTACTGGGACGAGAGAGGCATACGAGTTGATGGGAGATTCCTGTCCAGCCTTCGTTTTGCGGACGACATCGTTCTCTTCTCGAGAAGTATCACCGAAGCAGAGACGATGCTGAAGGATCTAAACGAAGTAGGGAAGAAGATCGGACTGCGAATAAATCGGAAGAAGACTCAGTTCATGAAGAACGCCCTTTGCGAAGATGCAGAAATGGAATTGGAAGGCACCCCGATTATGGAGACGTCTTCCTACGTGTATCTCGGACGTTCGATGAACATGGAGAACGACTTGAGGGAAGAACTCAACAGGAGAAGAAGAGCAGCCTGAGCCGCCTTCGGGCCCCTGAAGGAAGCCACCGACCAACTGACGGACCCGGAGCTTCGTGCCCACCTGTTCGACTCAACCGTTCTCCCGGCGCTCTGTTACGCAGCTGAGACTTGGGCCGACACTTTAGCCACGTCGAAAGCTCTACGGACCACCCACAGAGCGCTCGAGCGCAGTCTTCTGAAGATGACCCGACGCAAGCAACATCTAGTCGGACTTCGCAGCACGGATATGAGAAGAATGTCCCGTCTTCGTGACCCAGCGGAATACGTCGCGAAAGCCAAACACCGATGGGCCGGTCACATAATGAGAAGAACAGACGACAGATGGACACTAAGAACATCGGAGTGGATTCCTCGCGAAGCCAAACGTCCCCGAGGAAGACCTCCAACGAGATGGGCAGACGTGTTCGTGGAACGGATGGACCAGCTGAGAAATCAGCTGGATACGATTTTTGCACCTGGAACTCGTGGACGCAGCCACCGACGTCAGCCAAGAAGATCGTGGATGTCAGAAGCGAGGGACAGGGAAAAATGGAAACTTCTGAGCTGGGGCCCGCACGTCACGTGAAGCCGGGCTATCTAAGTATCTAAGTATCTAATAGTCGAATAGAATGTTCGAACAATGGTTTTCCAAAACTTCTTGGATATTCGAGTAATTGTCTATTGATTCCTCTAACATTCAAATAAGTTATTTTTCCGAGTTGTCGAATGAACGTATTCGACTATTCGAATATTCGAACAGTCGAATATTTCGAATAAATTATTCGAATACGGATATTCGGTTATTACAATGAACACTTGCTGACAAGAAGCAGATTAACCAGCATGAACAAGAAACGGAGTGCATAAAACATGACGATCAAAACGTATATGTAATGAAAGAAATAAAAAAGATCCATGGGCTTAATAATTGTAGCAGAATACGATTAGTACTCACTTGAAGTCAGCCAAAGTGGTATCCATACGCAGCTGAGTCCCCTTCTTGTATATTTGGCAGACATCAGATGGCAGCATGCGTGAAAGTAGTGGAACTAAATCAGCACTACAAATGGCTTCAACACATTATAAAAAGCTCTCTGTCATAACTCACTCCAACTTTGAAAGTCCCACTTTAGTTCGAGGTAAAAATCTCCGATGTCCTCCATCATTTTGATTAGGTAGGGTTTACGACTAGCTATACCGGTGCGAGACTGTGCCTTTAGCTTGCGCAGCATTTCGGTAACTAAAAGAACGATATTTTGCTGAAAGTTTTGGGCGGCATTTATAGTTATAAAAACATTTTGAACAACATGAGAAAAAACTGTGCAGGTGGACGCACAAAATCACCTTGCGATAAAGGCAAGCTTTCTTTGGTAAGAGCATATAATGAATGTACGACGCAAAAGCAAAAAGCGTATAAATAATGAAAAAAAGAATGATTATTTAAAATCCCTCACTACTTACTTATTTGTCTGTCTCCGTAGCTGACTGCTTCCATTAGCGGATTCCAACCGTCGCAATTCTTCACCTTCACTGGTGCATTGTGAGCCAACAACAAAGCAGTAGCTTCTGCAGAAAAAACAATTTTTTGAAATGCTGCATTCATGTAAAGAGGGACAGAATAGTCAAACTACAATGGAGGAAACAGATGCACAGAATTTGACAAACCTCTGTGACCGAGCATGGTGGATATATGAAGCGCGGTGTTTCCGTGCAAATCCTGCTCATAAAGGCTTCGGCCTGAAATGGATTGCGCGGTAGTCAATCTATGTAACTAAGGCCCCGGCCAGACTTCGCTCAAAAGTGCCCTAGAACCCCTCAAAAGCGCCCGAATTTCTCTAACATCTCTTCGCTTTCTCTGATCTCTCCCCACACGAGAAAGTGAAGAGTCATTAAAGAAAATTGGGCGCTTTGAGGCGCTTTTGAGCGCAGTCTGAACGGGGCCTAAAAAAATAAGTACTTCAGTGTAACTTCGCAACAAGTAAACCTAGAATAAATGTTTATGCTACCCCTCATTTTCATACTCTCTTTCTCATCGATTCTCAGAAAACAGGCAGAAGTCGTAAGCAAACCTGCTTTGATGAGCTGCGATATTGACTGCACATCATTGAAGAAAGCCGCTCTATGAAGCGGATAGGTTTCCAAGTCGCTGATTGTCATATTCTGCAAGTTCACACTATCTTTGGTCATAAGCACCATCACGAGCAAGGCAAAACTCGAAGCGCAAGAACATCAGCAATGCAGACGCATGTATATAGGCAGGACATTCAATCGGAACTGTGATGCAAATTAGGCAATCAGATCGAGAGATGAGAGCGAACACAGACAGAAAGCAAGATAGTATTTACTAAAGGACAACGAGTCCCAGCACTGTAAAAAGTTAAAAGTGTCATGCATGGAATAACAGGATTACTAGGGATGCTACAAATAGGCAAAAAAAGCCTTGAACTACGATTTACCATTGCTTTTCATCGAAAGTTAGCAAAAATTAGTTTTAAATTTAAATTTAGATAGAGACGGGGCGAGGATTGCGACTGGAGCGAGGATAGAATCACTATTTTTTTTCAAGCCAATCCAAGTTATATAACAAAACATGCATCCGTGCTGCATGTGCCTATCCTCCTGTTTTGCATCTAGAAATGTCAATTCTCACAAATTACACTTTGGGTTTCCATTTAAGTGAAATTCAAGTCATCGCGTCTGACGCCATCGAGCAGTAGCAGTGATAATATCCCGTTCATGATACAGTACTCGAAGATGTCTGGAATACAAAACACTAATTATCCTCCCGCTTGGAGGCTAGTAGGACGAAGCAGCGTTAGTTGAGCAAGTGCGAATGCGCGCGCGCGTATCTTTACCGTTGTAAACCCTGCGCGCCTCAAGCGCTCTGCAGCTAATAAAGCCGCGTTCGCTCCCAAAAAACTGCGCCTTCAACATGCGGTAGCCTATTTCCGCAGTTTCCAATTTTTCCTAGTTCCACATCATGTTCCTGATTGTGTGAGCCTCCAAGATTTACTGATAAGCTGTACCTACACCAAGCGCGCGAATCCAAGGTCCAAATTTTGAAAATGAAAGATGGATGCATACTGTACTTGGCGTTTAAGCGGAAAGATGGTCTTATTGAGAAGCCAAACCACATCAAAAACGTTGTTTGCAGGAACTGTACGCACAAAAGAGTCTAGATAAATAGCAAACCAGAGCGCAAACGGTCTCGTCGCATGTTTGAAAGGACTAGTCATTTAGCCTAGACGCAGTACTTCCGGTTATAGCAATTTGACAAAGGAAGACCATCAAAACTGTGGTTACAAGTTTATGGCAGCAAACTAAAGTGAACATCTGACTTTGAAAGAATCCCACTAACGTCAATGTCAGAGAGCGGATACCAATAGCGACTTCGATTTGCGTGTAACCACAGAATGTGCAAAACATTAAGTAATGTGTATAGTCGAGTAAGCGATTTGCCGGCGGAGCCTCTGCAATAAAAGACAACAAGTGCGCGAAAAAAACTGCTATATTCATAATGCTGAAACACTGGCGTGCAAAAAAGGCCATCGAATGCGCACATCTTCAAGTTTTGAGCCCGCTTACCTTTTTTTACGCGCAAATGTTGCCGGCATCGCAAGAAGACTTCAAATCGCCAAACCTACTAGACTATACTCATTTCAAAGTATCTTCGCCTGAAACAAATATCCTGCTTTATGAATGAAGGCCGACAATGACAAGACAGAATTCCTAGCTTGTGATTTATTTCTGCAGCAAACAAAGGAATGTGTCAGCAACCGTCGACAGTGAATGATGAGCGTGTTCACGCAAAAATTTGTGAGCGAACAATGCCTTCGCACAAGAAATGCATTCAGAACCAAGGAGGAAATGAATTCCTCAAGAGCTTTCGTAGAAGCTCTTGCAAAAAAATTTTTCCTTTGGAGCTTGTGTATGTTGCCTTGGAAGGAAAATGGGCACCAGAGCTTGAGGGCACGCTTTTCAAAAATAAATGAAATGCTAGCTGAGATGTAATAAGTAACACAAGGCTATACACAATGAATCACTGAGTGCGCGACGCATGCGCAATGCGGATCGCTTTAAAAAGCGGGAAGTATAGTCCATTATAGAAGACCTAAAGCTTGTTAAGAGCTAAGCGGTCGGAGAGCGGTGAAAGGGAGGCTGACATCAGTGAGCCTTTCTGCCCTGTTGGCCTAGACCTACTGCAGCGCGACCGCGTCGCTGTCCTCAAATGCCCAACCGCCTTCGCCACTTTATGGACTTTGAACATCTTCAGTGTCTAACGTTTAGAATTTCTTTGTTGCTGTGATTTCGTGCTCAAGACAATATTCATTTATTCGCCATTGGAGAAGAAGAAGAATCTTCTGGAATATTCCCTGGTCACGCAGGCTACGAGATGAACAGTAAGAAAACCTAACCAAAAGTTGATTTTTGCCATCATACTTGGCGAGGCAAATCTATTAATGGGAAAGGAAAAGGTAATTACTGATTACGACGAAAAAACAGTTCGAGAAATGTTCGAAACTTTTTGCATCTGCAACATTTCGGTAAGAATTCGGAAAGTTCTGCTGTAATTTGTGACTGACGCATATAGACTAAACAAAAGGCCATGATGCCGTCGAGAGGAATAAGAGTGATGAACCTCTGTCATTTTTATTGTCAATATATGGTCATATATTTGGCTTCTTTTTTTCTATATAGCAACTTTATTTCTAGCATTTATAGGAGCGATGAAGCCCGCTTTTGGAACCCTTTGCAAACGGTTTCGCCGGCGGGGTTCTCGAGTCAATGTAGGGTTTTTTAAGCACTCAGGGCAAGGCTTTCAATAGTATTTATCGTTGGTTGGTACAAATATCCCAAACTATTCATTTCATTGTTTTCTGAACTATGCCAAAGTGGTAAAAAAATGATTTGCTTAGACCAGTTTTAATAAGATACATATTTGACTGAACAAAATCATGCCCTTGTTTTTGTAAATTTCGTAGATAACGAAAAGTGGACTATGACACGCTCCCTGCCCCGAAGTGTATGTGTGCAAAGTTTGGTCCCGGGCGGAGCCGGGTTTGCCATCTAGTAATTCCATATAAAAATCAATATTTCCAATATTTTCCCAATGCAACATTATTTATGTATTTTTCAGTATTTTTTCTGCATTTAAAGCTATCATGAAAACATGAAATTGTAGTGGCCAGCTACTTGAGCTTCAGTCCACCTCTTATAAAAAGATGTACATACCAACGGTCTTCAAGAAGATCTAGGATTTTGGAAAAAAAACGAAGAAAAAAATCTTACAATCAAATTTTGTCCCTTGAGAAACTCCCCTTAGAGGCACCAAATCACCTACTACTTTGCTTCACAAATCAAACGTATTTTCCTTAGTTAGAAAGGGTAGGATAGAGATCTTTTTGGGGATGGTTACATAATCTAATGCGCAAAAGAAACATTTGTAGAATGAAGTGAGCTCTGCCTTAGTACATTGAGAAAATATGAAAACATATCGGCGATTCCTAAAACGTAAGGCGCATTTGTCCATTAATAACCTGTTGAGGAGCAAGAGATTGACAATGGATACGGGATGAATCACGCAAAATTGATGGAATTCTTTGAGCAATTCGAACTAGTCTATGGCTACCTGATGGAGGCAGATTGAGCGGCATGGCAAGTAAAAAGGTCGACACCAATCGACACCAAATCTATCGTATCTCTAGATCCAGATTGGATCTAGTTAATTGTCCGTAATAGGTATTTTTATGCTTAAAAAGAAACTACCCAGCCAAATGCTGAGATTGGATCTAGTCGTTAGGTGGGGCGGTGACAGGAAACGAAGCTTATCTCCGTCGGAACGAGAAAATCTCGAAAGTGCATTTGCCCCCCTCCCCCCTGAACCAACCTTGTAGGCATGGCAAGTCGTTATCGAACGACATACATGCATATGGGGCTTAGCCTCAGTTAGACGAGATGATGACTGAATTAGAGCAGCTGCTATATTTCAAAAAAAAAATAAAAAGCGTTCGCGTGTGGAAGTGGATGTCGAAAATCCATTTTGAACCAACCTTAAATGTGAATTCAGTCTATAGAACCCGAAAGAGGTGCTTCTGTTGCTCCCGAAATAGGTGCTTCCATTGCTATATGTTTTCTTTCACTTAAGTGAAAGTCCGCAGTCACGGACTCGGTTAGTCCATTACTGTAATCACCCGTAGACTGAATGGTGTACAATAAAAGAGAAAACTAATGGTCTCGGGAGCTTCCGTGACTTTTTTATGCGTATAAAGAATGTCGGTGGGAAACACTGGGTTATACAATAATTGGTATCCATAGGAAAAACAATGGAACTTGTATGGAAAGTTAATTTTTTTGATTTTGTACCCTCACCTACTCTAAGTAGGTCTGATCTATAAGCTGAATATATGAAAAGCTGCACATACTCAGCTGCAGAATCTGCAAAGTTTTTTCTCGGATCCCATGGCAACGGAAAAGAAACAATTTGCAGGAAAACTCATTTATGGGCGATGGGTAATGGGATAGGAATGTAATTAGATGTCTTGTAAGGATAGTCTTCTCGCGGAGTATATAGAGATCAAAGCACAAGTTTACGAAACAACAAAAGTCCTGTATCAACGAAGAGGGACCGCGTTTCATTTACTAAAAACCATAAATATTATGTTTTGATCTAGAATGAAGTGTGAGGATAAAGTGAGTGATGTAACATGACATGTGTTCTGTTCAAACAGTGTACCAGTTTCGATTTGAGATGAATCAGTGCGGGAAAAACAAATATTTGATTGATTGATTAGGATTAATCAAATTCTTACGCAGGATTTATATCTATAAAGCTAAAAGTTAGTTAAAGTTTAGATTTAAAGTAGAGATGCGATAAGAAATTCTATTGGGTATTATGGATGGTCTGAATCTAGATGGTTGTTGAATACAGCAGTGTTTTTTATACAGCCAGATTTTGTTTTTTATTCTCACTAATGTGCACACCGTGCACGCTAATAAATTGTTTTATAAATGAAAATTATATTAGGTTGATTCATAATTAATGCACGTTTTCTATACTTCAACTTTCAACCGAGATAATTCTTTTTTAAAAAAACACTTCAGGGCGCAATAAAGATTGCTGCAACTATCAAATCAGTGGCTACAAAACAGATACTTTTGCGTGACTGTATCTATCACAAGAAAGATTTTCTGACCTG